GGAGTTTCAAGAACTATTTGCCCTGACTTGTCGCAAACCTTGATCCTTCCAATCTCAGCCTCCCATATAGCTAGGATTACAGGGGTGAGCCACTGCTCCCAGTGAGGAGCTATTCTTAATCCACAAAGATGAGAAATAGGAAAATAATACTGATGATGGATGTTGAAGCTGATGGTGAAGCAGGAGTCTTGATCACTATGTAATACACATATAACATATGCAAATAATATCTAAATACATAATTATCCCTGACCCAAGAGTCTATGACTGGCTTAGTCACTACACCAAACATTAAGAGAAGAAGCAGAAAATTACCCCTAAAAATACACACCCAGGGACAGAAAAATTTAGAAGCATTGTTGCCTGCCTGGGTCTATTTAGAACAGCTCTGAGACATGGACTTACGGAATTGCCTTTGGGTTTTGTAAAATGATTGTAGATCATCAGGAATTTACTACATCAATTTGCTCCCAGCATGAAAATACGCATCTTCTGTGTTTGAGCTGAGGTTAGGCCATGTTGCACAGGGTGGCCTCAAATTGCTGAAGTGATCCTCCTGCCTCAGCCTCCCAAGTAGCTGAGACTACTGGTGTGTGTCACTGCACTTGACTTCTCAAAATTTTATGGTATAATTGAACATTTAGTGACACTTGAGTGCAGCTTAATCTGGTAAATTTCCCTGTAGGAAAATAAATTGCAAAGATGGTAGCAGAGAAAATGGCATTGAGTTTAGATGAAAATAGAAATGCTGGAGCCAGACCACCTGGGTTTAAATTCTGGCTGTGTTACTCACTGTGACCTTGAGCAAGATAGCTCATCTCTGTATCTTAATTTGCCCATCAATAAAATGGAGATAATAAACTTAGGTCACAGGAATGAGTCAATTTGTTAGAGGTGCTTAGCAGTATCTGGCATAGAGTGAGCCTTTTGTATCAGCTAAGCCGACGATCATGGCACCATTTTTGTGACAGCAAGCAGCTCAAACCCACTGAGCTCAAATCATCCTTCAAAAGGACCCGGATTCAGTGGAGCAACCCAGAGCCCATCCTCTGCACTGTTCTTCCCACCCATCATGACCTTCCAGTTTTTATTTTTGTGGAGTTGGGATGGAACCCAAGGCTTCCCATGCTAGGCAAGTGCTGTGACTGAGCTACACCCCAAACTCCCATTCAGTTTTGGAAAACTTCTCATGGAGACATTCTCCTTAAAGTTGTAAGTCAGGAGTGGTAGCACAACTATAATCCTAGCATCTGGGAGGCTGAGGAAGGAGGAAGTGAGTTCCAAGTCAGCCTGAGTTACAAAGCCAGACCAAGTCTCAAACTAAATAAAAAGCATATAGAATGGTTATCACAAATCAAATAAACACAGCCTAAGAGATCAGTTAGGGCCTCAGAAATCCCTTCTGCTATGACGAATGCTCTCTTTCTTCCCAGCAAAGTGACCTCTGCGCTGCGCCCTTGCTTCTTGCCTTTGTAGCTATCACTTAGCCATGTGTTCCTCAATGCTCAGATTTAGTTGGTGGTTTTGGAATTTCATTGAAATGGAATCAAATGCTATGAACTCTTAGGTTTGGCTTCTTTGCTCTTTGATTTAACATTACTTTGGTGAAATGCATCTATTTTGTTTTATATAGCAATAAATGGTTCATTTTCGTTGTATATTATCTGGCCACTTTTGACTATGAAAAAATCTATGATTTCATGGTAGCATGAATATGTCTGAATTAATAATTCTGTTCATGGAAATGGGCTTCTGAGCTGTTGTCTAGTGCTGTATTGTTCCAGGTATTCTTTTGGTAAGCATGCACATATTATTATTATTATTATTATTTTTGTTGGTGGAACTGGGGTTTGAAAGCAGGGCTTCATGTTTGCTAGGCAGGCGCTCTACCACTTGAGCCACACCTCCAGCCCCAGCCCCACAGATTACTCTTGGGTTTATGACTAGGAGTGAATGACAGTATCTTTGATTCTGGATTGATTTTTCACTCTTAAAGTATCTTTCTTTATGGTTAATGCATCTTGTATCTTAGAACTTTTTCCTAGCCTGAGTCTAGGAATATTTGCCAATATTCCATCTAGATGTTTTGTTCTTTGGCCTTTTGTGTGTATGGTGTGTATGTGTGGTGAGATGTAGGGGTCGAGTTCCCATTTGGATATCCATTTATCATAGATTGCCTTAGTTCTACTTTGCAGTGATAATGTTGCAAGCTAAGTGTCCATTTGGGTTCTCTGTTCCACTCATCCAGGGCTGTAGGGATAAAGAACTAGCTCTATAAATCAGTATAGGGAAACTACTTGCTGATTATGAGTGAGAACTGGTAATGAGCTTGGGTAAATATCTTTTTTGTTTTGTTTTGTTTTACTGGGGTTTGAACTAGGCCTACACACCAGCCCTTTTTGTGATAGGTTCTTTTGAAGTAGGGTCTCAAGAACTGTTTGCTGAGCTGGCTTCAAACCTCAGTCCTCCTGATCTCTGCCTCTTGAGTAGCTCGGATTACAGGTGTGAGCCATTGGCACTGGCCTGGGTAAATATCTTAATGAGTCCTGTGACATTGGGATAAGTTGCTTGTGTTATTTGGGGCCCCTATTCCTGGACTTTTGCACCTCCTTTTATTTATTTATTTAATTTTTTTTTGCACCTCCTTTTATAATTGCAAGGATTGGTGACTATGCAAATTGTTCAGCAGTATGTCCAAACAGTAAGCATTTAATAATACAGGTCACAAAGTCATTTGACATGCTTTACCTAAATTCATATGGAAAAATCAAAATTATTTTACTTATCAGTGTCTATACATTTTTACAATAAAAAAAAGGATGATGCAGGGTGCTTTCTAGACCCCACTGAAGTGCCACTTCCTAAAAAACAGGAATTTCTAAATTCTAAAACCTACCTGGGTCCAGGGGCTCAGTATGGGATTTTAGTCCTGTACCATTGATTCAGGATTATAATAGAACTCCTCATGTATCCTGGGGCAAGACTCTCAGTGGCCTCTGAGTCTCAGTTTCCACATTAATGACACCAAATTCTACTATACATCATAGCGATGGTCACAAAGTGTGTTGGAGTTGGGAAATAGCATACGTTTGTGGCAAAAGGCATTTTAGAAGTTTATGTGTTTTGTGGCAAAAGGCATTTTAGAAGTTTATGTGTAAATACAGGCTCTGTCTGAAAGCACTAAATGGCAATAGTATTTGGTATCTGAGGTGAAATGAAAATAGCAAAACATTCTTCAGCAAATCATGTGCTACTAAAGGGACAGATCAGAGTGGTACATGCCCCCTTTCCTCCATACCACACAAAACAATATAAAGAGCTACAAGGTGAGCCTTACCATCCTTCGGTTGTTAACTGATATCCATATTAAAGCCTCAAGGACTGAACCTATGTTTTCCCTTTTCCATTGGAACATAAAAGGGAAACCGTACTAGTTTTGTTGAAATGTTGGCTGTGTACATTAGCTCCTTTTGGGGAGTAATGTTAAAGCAAGAAGAAGGCAAATACACCGTGCCCCACAAAGTCCACAGGCACTGGGGAGGGCTCACAGGAAGGATGTGCGATTAAGGTTTTAGGGGTCATGTGAACTGCAAGTTCGGGTCTGCAACCTAACTTGGCCAGGGCTACAGGCAGGGCCGAGCTCGGTGACCACGTAGGTAGATTCCTGTCACCTGTGGACTCTGCTCTACAAGTTACTGGTTGGAGGTGCTAGTTGGATACTGGCTCTGAGGGTTGTCTCAGTCCTCGCACTAGGAAAACGTCTGTCTGATCAATGCAGCCACCCAGTCCTGTCAGATTTCTCAGGAGCCCACTCTCCAGGCAGTGAGCCCTGGCCTTTGAATGGTCGTGGGCAGCACTGGAGGCTGGGGGCCAGTCCCAAGCTTGTAGGTGAGCCTCATGAGGCTTCCTACCCACCCATCTTCCAACCCCAGAGGGTCCCTGGGAAAACTAGGATGTCCACAACATGGAGTACTAATTGTGTACCAAGTGCCATTCTTGGTTTGAGTAGTTTAGCTGCTCTTACTCTAACAGGGACTGTTCACATTTTAAACAGGAGCAAGTGACAGCAGGGACAGCAAGTGGCAGAGCAGGGAATCATTTCCACACCCCTCCCGCCTCTCTCACCCACTCCAGCCCCAGCTTTGTAGGTTCCTGGAAACCTTGCCCTTGAGCTCTTTGTTTCAGAATGAAACCAGCTCTTCTCAGTGGGTGTTTCCACTATTAGTTATGGACAGCCAGGCAACTTGCAGACTGGCAAGCCCCACATCTCCGCTACAAATAAAACCAGAACAGTGAGGCAGAGAATAAGGCTGAGCTATGCTCCTGGCCCAGCAGCCCATCTGGGTCATCCTGTGCCATGTCCCCTAACTCTTAACCTTGGCTAGGAATGGAACACTCTTGGCTCCAAGGAAGACTTTTGCGTGCCCATGGGAGGCCGTCTGGGCCCAGCAGTGCCCGCACATAAATTCCCAGGACATCTCTCTCAGCCGGGGTGGGGAGCAATGTGTGCACACAGGGGGAACCCACAGGGCAGGACAGGGCGCACAGAGCCACAGCAAACCCAGGGCTCCAGAAGTCTTGGAGAGAGCAGCCCTGTTCCCCTTCCTGCCCTTTCTCAACACACCCAGAACCAAGCTGTCCAACTGTGAGAACTCGCTGCGTGCGGGGCAGAGGCACCTGGAACAATCCCGGCTTTGTTGGGAAGAATCTGTTCCCCAGTTGGCTTTTATCTGTGTCCAGCAGCGAGGAGTGAGGCTAGATGGAGGCTCCTGGGAGGCGAGGGCAGAAGGCCGGGGGCAGGGAGCGCAGCTCGCCGGCTCTCGCGCGGCCGCGTGGCCGGGTGGCCTGGTGGCCGGGACGCGCGGGGCGGGGCGGGGCTGGGCGCGCGGGGCGCCGCCGGGGCGCAGGCGGTTCGGACAGTTCGGCCGTGCCGGGCCGGACCGTCCCGTCTGAGGTTTCTCCCCGCAGCCGCAGCCGCAGCCCGGCCGGCCGCCTGCCTTCCTCCGCAGCCGGCGAGGTCACGATGGGCTCGTTAAGGCGGCAGGTAGGCAGTGCCCCCGCGGTGGCGGCAGGCGGTCCTGGAATGTGCGAGGGGCGTGATGACAGCGACTGCCGCCGGCCTCTTTGCGCAACACCTTGGCTATATATACCCGGGGCGAAGCTGCTCTCCACCTGGGCGCCTCCTGCAGTCCCTCACCTGCGAAGGAAGCGCTGGTGAGTACCGCTGTCGCCTTCTCGCTCTTAACCTTCACCTACTTCATTCTTCAGTCGCCCTCCGGTGCTGACGCCTCCAGAAAGCCGGCTGGCTTTGGGCTGTAGGCGAAGAAATAGCAACAAACTTTTGCTAGGTGTCCTGATCTTTGTGACAGCTATTGCTACTCTCGCTGTATTGGTGGCGTTATTAATCAGCCCCACCCGGGGATTCTAAAACTGTAAGAAAGGAATCTGAAGGGGACCACTTTTTGGCTGGGTTACTGTGTGACTCAGAGAGGTCCCTGTGTGCAAGTGTACAAGGCAATGGACCTATCTTAGTGTCTCCTAGGTTTGGGGAGGCCCCAGGGGACAGGATGCCCCCAGCGTGATCTCCACGTGTGCAGTGCTGTTTGTAGAGTTACTTATCTAAGGTGACTAAAGCCAGACCTAGTTAGCTGTTCCCATCAGGGCTGGTGGCCATCAGGATTTGTCATTTTTCCGTTGTCTGGAGAACAGAGCTGGCAATTTCTGTTTTAAGAAGGAGAGGGGACCAGGCGGGGAGGACTTGACGACTTACAAGGAGATGTGTAGAGAGGTGCTTGGGTTGGAACAGGATGACAGCACCTGTTTAAAGGTTACTTCAGTTTCCCTGGGGCAGAGGCGTGCCACAGGTAGCTGGCCCTGGGCTGAGGAGAGGTGGAGTCTTGTTTTCCTTGGTGAGGTGGGCATTTTCTCAAAGGTGGATTTTGTGGAGGCACCTTCCGTGTCTCTCTCTCTGTTCAGCTTCCCCAGGAAGGTTTTGTGACAGTCTGGAGAGCTCTGGGCCCCGTTTGTCTTGTTTTCCCTGTTCCCCTCCTGCCTTGGCGTTTCTGTAACTCCTGTGTTGGGTACTCCTGGAGTGCCCATTGTTTCAGACAGTTGAGACTGAAGCTTCTGTGCTGTGTCAGCTGACCATGACCTTTTCTGTTTTTTGTGAGCTTGTAAAATGGGTAGCAAGAAAGGCATGCTTTGTGATAGTTTTGGATGCTAAACAGATTACCCACTTTCCTAAGCCACCTCATTGAAACAGGGCTCCGGTGGTATGAGGACAGTGGACGTACAAATGCCCTGGACTTAGCTTAAAGAAAACAGCCTTCCAGGCCCACAGTGATTGGGAAGAAAATGGATTTCAATGAAACTGGAATATGAAATCTGTTCAGGATGAGTCTATTTACAAATTTAGCTCTATTGGTCCCCTTCATGCAGTGACAAATAATATAGTAATCAAGTTAATTACAAGATTTGTTTATGTAGTGTTGCGGATCAAATCTGGAGCCTTATACATGCTAGGCAAGGACCCTACTACTGAGCTATACCTCCAGCCTGTGGGTTTTGAGACAGGGTCTCACTGTGTTGCTCAGGCTGCCCTTGAACTTGGTATGTAACCCTTGGTTCTCCTGCCTTTCAGCTTCCCAAGTGCTGGTATTACAGGAGCACACTACCATGTCCAGCTAAGGTTTAATTTTAAATATCGTAAATGCAGACTGAAGTGTATACAAGGATTTAGTTTGTCAATTGGGCCCAGGTTTAAAGTGATAGGATGTCTTTTTAGAATTCAATTAGCACCTTCATCTAAAGTCTAAACTAGCTGAAGGCCTGGCTCAAGTGGTAGAGTGCTTACCTAGCAAGTGCAAGGCCCTGAGTTCAAACCCCAGTACCGAAAAAAGGAAAAAAAAAGCCTTCAGTGTGAGGCCTGGCCAGTTGCTTGTCTGTCTTGAACACGCCCCCACTGTTCGTCCACATCACAGCCATGTCCTGGGATGGGGGTGGGGTAGTGATGTTGTTTTTCCTTCTGAGGGCTAAAGGAAGTAAAAGAAAAGCAGCCCTCACTGTCTTAGGAATTTTTGAAGTCTTGGGTCATTCCTTGAAAATACAAGAATATTACTGGGCGTCCTGAGAACATTGGACTGCATGAGTTTGAATTGTCTCTAAAGGTGGAGTGTCTGTCTATGTGACTTTAGCAATTTCTCTGTGCCTCATTTTACCCTTCTGTAGAAGAGTGATAAAGGATATTTAAACCACATGTCTCCCTCGGTTGAATGGAGTTAAAGTGCATGCTAAAGGATGACGTGCTTGTGATTTAAATATGCTGATTTGTGTACAGGACTTAACAACAACGCCTGGCTTGAAGTGTATGATAAAATACTTGTCTGGTTAGTGTGTGCCTGGCACTGTGTAAGCTGGGGACACAGTGACCATCCTGTGCTTGTAGAAGTCACCTGGTGGAGAATTCAGGAATACTTTATTGCCCAGGGCCTTCTCACTTCTTCAGGTGGCCTTGGCAGCTGCTCTGAGCACAGGTGGCCCCAGACAGGTCCTGGTTGGAGAGGCGCGAACAATGCAAGATGTAGGGGGTTGGGTGGTTGCCAGCCACTCTACATTTCTCTGCTTCCCAAGTCCCAGAAGAATCCAGAACTTTCTTTTCTTTGGCCTGGGAGGAAGAATGAGAGTTGCTCTTGGCAGCATTGAGTGTGTGTGTGGTTGCAAGCAGTGGAGCCAAGAGGGTGAGGCACATGGCAGCTCAAGTGTAGAGATGGGGAGGGGACCTGGGAGGCTTGTTATAGCTGATCTTCTTCCTGGACCTTGGCACCACGCTGCCCCAATAGGAGACTGCTCCTCACTCCTCTGCTCTCTCTGACAGGTGGCAAGAATGTGAAGTGTAGTCTTGTAAAGGCAGGGGGAGGAAAATAGGCGCACTGACCCTCCCCAATGGTGCCCAAAGCCCCTTCCCTCAGGAAGCAGGTTCAGTGCCTGCCATGACTCTGAAATATTGACCTCAGATTCATACGACATCCTCTGTTGGGGCCTCCATTCAGTGGCACCTCCCCTGCTCAGCAGACTCTCCTAAAAACACTTGGGATTTGCTGAGTCCAGGTCTCTGGTATGTCCGAAGCCTGTCATTACAGCATTCTTGGTGGCATGTTTGGCCATTGAATGACTATGCACGAGTGACCCCCGCAGACTTGTCCATCCAGCCAGGTCTCCCAGAAGCATACAACTTGCTGAGTTGGACTCTGTGTCCCTTGTGCCCCGTGGCTGTGAGACCTATAGAAAAGCTTCTGGCATTGGAACCAGCAGTTCCAGGTTCAAATCCTGACCCCCCCAGGCTACTGTGTAGCTTTAGGCAAGTTTCTTAATTTCTCTTTGCCTCTGTACTGTGAAAAGAAGAACCTTGCTCTAAGATTAAATGAAGTCACAAACAGCCTAGAACAAAACTGTCATAAGACAAAGGCTAGCACCTTTCTCTTGTTGCTTTGGGATCATTTATTGAACAGATGTCCACTCTTGTGCTCAGTGCTGGAGTGGTACTCTCAGTGGCTGGCAAAATAGAGGGCAAACTACTGTTTATTTATGATGCAATGCGTTTCAACAGTTCTAGGTTTCTGTGCCAGCCACTGTGCTTGGGCCTCACCCACATTCATTAATCAATTAGTGCTTGAAACAGTTCTGTGAGTGACATGGCATTGTCCCATTTTTGAGATGAAGAAACTTACGCCCAGAGAGAGTCAGACTCATGCACAGTGAGACACAGACCTTTGCAAAGCTGGCCCTTCTGCAGTGTGGCTGTCTTGTCCCTACCTGCCAGACAGTCTGATCTTAGCAGAGGTGGCATCTCCAGGGACCCAGAGGATCCCTGGAATGATTGCCAGTCTTAGGCCAGTTGAAGGGAGGTGGTCACTCCAGGCCCTGCCTTTGTGCCCAAGTCCTAGCTGCAGTCCCTAAAAGCTGACAGGTTCTGGACAGAGACCTGGGGCTCTGCTGTCTGGGATAGGCAGGTGAATGGGGCCTGTGTGCCTGAGTGGCAGAGTACAGTGGCTGAGTAGTTGCCAAATGCCCTACATTTCCCTGTGTCTAGGCGGAGCAGGCTGTGGGGGTGGAGAGGGCCAGGAAGGGAGTGGCTCGCAGTTCAGAGAACTCAGGCTCTCCTGGATGCCTGCCCCCTTCCTGCTTCTTCAGCATCCAGCGCAGTGAACATGCACAGGTGATGGTGCAGGGATGAATGTACCAGAAATTGAAGCACTGAGTGTGGGGAACCCATTGTCTCATCAGGGAAGCTTTTGTAAAGAGGAAACTTGTAACAAGTACTTGGACTCAGAACAGGGAAGCTGAGGACTTCCAAGAAGGAGGAGAGACATTCAATGGAGGTGCTTTGTTTTTCAGTGGTGTGTGTAGTGCCAAGTGGGGCGTGGAGGTGGATGAAGGCCACAAGGCCTTCAGCAGGGACCTGGGGGATGCTCTTGCTGGTTGGGGCTCATGAAATCACATGCCATTCCTTCTGTTGTCATTGCTTGTGTTAGCCTCTGTGGGCCTTGGACCCTGGATGGGACTGTTTCTGTGTTCACCAGGAACTATTTGTTTTAATCCTTAAGAAGAAACTGATTCTGACCAGTCATAGAAATTCAGTCACAGAAAACAAAATTTAAATAAAGGCAAATAATTATCTTCATTCTTTACAGCTGGTAGGAGTTTCCCTAGTGGGGCTGCTCTGGCATCTGGGGTGAAGTTTCTTGGAATAGTTGCTCATCTCACAAACGTTGGCCAACCCAACTTGCATATGATGATGAGGCACAACCACCTGGCAGGAAGGGTCAGGCTGAGTTGTTAGTCATGATCATGGGCCAAGTGCATCCTTTAGCAAATCCTATCTGCTGACCCCTCCATCCAAAAATAGAGTGCTCATATTATAGTTCTATCCGGCCCAGGAAGAAAAAGCATAGGAGAGAGGTCCTGCCTTCTGAGAACTTTAATTCTAGTTGGGAAGGCAGTATATAAATATTCTTAGGAGATAAAAAAAATAATCTCATGAACACAAATCTCTCATGAACATAGAGTTATAATTAAGGTTATAAGAGAAAGTGGTGGTAAAAGGTCTCGCCTTTTAGACTCTTTCTTCAGAGAGCCAGGCAAGCCCTTTTGGTATCCTGCTTTTAAAAATACAGTTTTTTTAAGTCAGGTGTCTAAAACCTGGGTGTCATGTAACCCAGGCTGGTGGCTCTCTGCCTCGTTCTCCCAAATGCTGGGATTATAGGCATACACCACCTTCCAATGTTAATTTATAAAAAATATGGCCTTCCAAACCGTAATATTTCCACCATTGTTTTAGTAAGATAGTTGATAGTCACAGGGCTTTACAGATATGCCGGTGTTCTGAGAGCTCATAATCAGAAGCATGGTTGTCCTCACTTGACATGAGAAACTGAGAGAAGCAAAGAGGCTAACCCAAGGTCACCAGGGTAAATCTGGGCCTTGAACACAGGGAGTTGGAGATGAAAGTCCAGTTTCTTAACCTGGGACAGTAGTTCTCAGCCCCTAAGGGGTGTTTGGCAATGTCTGGGGGACATTCTTGGTTGTCAGAGCTCCTGGCTTGTGTTTGCCAGTGGAGCGATACTGCTAAGTAGCCCTCAATGCACAGGACAGCCCCCCCACTCCAACAGAGATACCTGGACCCGGATGTCAATGTCAAGGTTGAGAAACAGCTTGCTCCATGTAAACATCTCATGTAAATCATCTACCAGCCAAACAACTTCACACTCCCTCTCCTCAGTTCCACGAGTAAATGAGCACTGTAAGCAGGAGGAATCACACAGTGACGGCCCACGATGCTATGGCAAGGCCCCAGCCTCACTGACAGGTAGAGCTGTTTCACAACTGGCCCTCACCTGCGGGGCTTTTCCACAAGTTGCTTTCCTCTTGGACTCCCCGATTCCTTCATGGACTGAAGTCTATGGCAACACCAGCCTCACCTGGCAGCTCTTGAATGTTTATTAAGTGACAAGCATTAGGAATCAATTAAAAGGTGTTACAGTGTTCTGTGGTGGAATGCCAGGTGAGTCATGACTAGCACATTCTGGGAGCAGGGAGAAAAGGACAAGGCCAGAGCAGAGAAGAGGGAAGAACTGGGCCCAGCCCTAAGAGTGGACAGAAAGAGTGAGGGGCCCTGCTAATGAAGCACTCCCTGCATCGTGCAGAGGTAGGAGGACTTTCATTTCATCAGAGTCTTTAGGGGGAAGTATGACTGCCAAAGAGGCTCCAATTTGGGGAGCAATGGGTAATAGAAGATGGGGAGTCAGACTAGTCTGCCATCATAGCTGTGTGTTAGGAAAAAGTTCACCTGAGGGGAGCTCTGGGGCTTGGTAGAGTGACTGAGGCAGGAACAAGAGCCATGGGCTGCTCCTGGATAGAATCCATGAGTCTTGGCGGGACTGGAAGCAGTTAGAGATGACTTTGGGATTCTGGGACGATGGTAGGAACCATGAACAGGAGAGTTCTGTCCAGGGGAAGAGTGTCGTGGCAGGAGGTGGGGTCCGTGTAAAGTGGAGGCTGCTGTGGATTGCTCTGAACAATGAAGGTTGGAGACCTTGAGAGAGAATTCAGGCAGAAGGTATCTGGGGCTGAAAGTGCTGCTTCTAGACCTGAATCATGGACTGCTCCCCTCCTGACTTCTATATCCAGTAAGTGAGACACAGACTCCATCTTCCTCATAAGTTGAAGCATCTTCCCCCTGGCTCAAGGCTGTATCACCTGGAGCCTTGGGCACTTGGGCAAAGCTCCTTACTTCCACATACCTGAGGTTCTCCATCTGTGCAACAGAGAGAATGATAGCATAGCAACTCCCTCCATGGGTGGCCAGGAGGCTGTGCTCAGTGCAGCGGGCTCAGTATTGTCTTTCTAGGACTGGTGGGTCCCAGTACCACACTCAGAGCATTTGCCCCTGATGCAAGGGGCAGTCAGGAAAGGTTTACTTGGGTCACACAACTTATGAAAGCTCCTAGGGATTGAGGCTTACAGAATCAACCAGCCCTTAAAATTTTATTTAAGTTTTTTTTGGTGCTGGGAATAGAATCCAAGGTCTTGCATGCATGGCAGACATGTATGCTACTGTTGAGTCCCACCTTCCAGCCCCAAATCAACATTTTTAATTCAAGTTAACACCAGAAACAATCAGGTGTTGCTCAGCCAGCTTACCTGTGTGGTTCGGGGATTGTGCTGCCTCTTAAAACAATTTGGAGATTTCAGAAGAAAATGAGATCAGGCACAATCCACCACTCACTCTGAACTCCGTGGAACATTTTTGGGTCTTGTTTGCCTTGTTGAGACAATGCTGGGAATGGGAACCAAAAAATGGGACTATTTTCAATTTTAAGCATTTTCTGGGGTCTCTGCTGGTTTCTTAGAACATTTTTGATGGCATGCCATTACACAGCACGATATACCATAGATAGTATAATTACCTATTTAAAAAACGACAAAGCAGCAAATGTCTTTTGGGCTGATAAACACTCCTCCAGTGAGTACTTAAGTATTTATGAAGCATTGTCATGTGCCAGGCGAGCTTCAGGTCCTGAGAACACAGCAGTGATCAAGACAAGCCCCTTTCTTGGTAGTGCTTGCCTTCGGGCAGGCAGGGAATAGAAAAAAGAGTTATAAAAGAAAAGAGGAAAGGAGACGGGCCCAGATTCTGCAAGTCATCTCAGGAGAGATCAAAGCAAGGTAGGTAGGTGTTTCTGATTTTTTGAGTTAGTGTTCCTAGGTTCCTACTTCCTAGAAGTGAGATGAGTGAAGCAAAGACCCACAATGAAGGGAGGGTACATTGGACATCTTGCTAACTGTTTCAGAGCTTCCAGAAGTGTTTATCGCATACATCTTCTCCAGGATAGAGTACTGTAGTGTAAAGTTGTTTGGGGGCACTTTGATAATGGTCACTTTATCTTGGTTTGAACTCCAAGAATTTTAGCCAGTGATTTCTGTGAAATTTCTGTTCTTTGGATGGCTTTGTCTGATGGTGTACAGAGTGGGCTGCCAGGTGTGTGAAGAGCCCCGCCAACTGAGAAAGGCATTGTGGAGAAAATGAGTTACAAGGAAGTTTCTGGGGAAGGCTAGAAACAATGTGTTCTGCTGGAGGATTATTAACCAGGCAGCATGGCACAGAAGTAATCCCTATTAATCGGAAGTAGGCTGGATGCCAGACACTTTCCAGATCTTTAATCTGATCATTAATCTCGCTACCATTGATCTCCTCACCCTGTAAAGGATGAGTTACCCCTGTTTACAAATGGGATACTAACACTGCTCAGAAGCATGAAGGGAAATGACCTATATACTGATGAGCGGCTGTGGGTTCCATCCAGTGTGCTACACTTGTCACAGAAAACCCAGATAGTGGGTAGAATGTCGAACATATTCATGTACAGTGAGTCTGTACAGTACATCACACACATGCTTGTCCACTGGATGAGGTTGAACCTGCCTCCACGTAAGTAGCAGATGGGAGCCAGTTGGGGCAGGGCAGAGGACCTGGGGTATCACAGATGATGGGGATGGATGGATGGATTTGTATCCCTTTCTGATGGAGATAATCAGCACAGGCTGAGACAGACAGAAGTTAGAGAAATCAAAGGAGGCATGGCTGTGCATCTAGATTTGAGGCCACACTGGAAGCGGTAACTCAATTTCCTGACAACCTGAGACGTGGTAGAGGGACGACTTGGAGTGTTAGAACATGGTGCTCCACACTTCAGGTTGAAACACAGCACCCCTTCCTCAACCCCGCCCCTGTTCCCATGAGCAGTTGCTTTGCTACTGGTGCATTTCCCTCATCCGGCCTCCTTCAGTGCTGCTTCCTCACACTCTGTTTTCCTATCCACAGACCATGGCTCCTTGGCCAGAGTTGGAAAATGCCCAGCCCAACCCCAATAAATACATTGAAGGGACCTCAGATCCACAGTCCTCCACGCTAGCCAAGGACAAGGAGCCCAACAAAAGTAAGTGCTGCTCACCAGTCACCAACGGCCCCCTGCAGGGGACCTGGGGAGACTCAGGTCTGAGTGCTTACCGCCTTTGCTGCTTGTTTGGGCAGATGACAGTGGCACTCCTGTACCCAAGATCGAACTTCTTCCTTCTTACTCCACGGCGACCCTGATAGAGGAGCCCACTGAGGTGGAAGATCCATGGGACCTGCCTGAGCTCAGGGACACTGGGATCAAGTGGTCAGGTAAACTGGAGGCCACCTGGGGCTGGCAGGAGGGGCTAGACCATTGTTCAGTGTCACCTTTGTCACTCTTCCCCCCCCTTTTTTATTGCTCTGATGCCCTTAGAACCAGGGTCCTAAAAGGATTAGCCAAAGCCCAGTGTGATAGGGTTGGGGGGGACTTTGTTCTTTCAGACAATTTACCAGGCACAGTTTGACACCAAGGCAGACACTGTCTTGCTCCCAATTAGCTCATCGGTGGGTGATTAGGTGTGATTAGGTCGCAGGTATTATAACAGGTGCTGTGAATACAATGAGAAGATGAGACCATCCTTTGAGGGCCCCACTGGCAGGGGTGGTGGTGTCCCCAGCCTAAATGGGGGCAGGGCTTCAAAGGCAGAGAAGCTTCTGCCGAAATATCTGGGATGTGAGCAAGTGTTCATTCCATTCCCAACTGTAGGCTGCAAGTCAGCCTACAGACCAGAAGGCTTCAGTGGGGCAGGGAGGAGGTGAGAACCACTTTAAACGTGAGCAAAGAAACAGCATCCCAGGCACCCCACCCGAGCCCTCCATAAAGTGCAGCTTCGATGGCTACCAGCTGCCTCGTTCTGTGCGATTGTGAAGGGGCTTTACAGACCCATCATTTCTGACCCTGCACTTAGCAGGTGGCCAGTGCTCTTAACTGTCCCCTTAGTGATACTGTGGTTCTGCTGAGCATGGAGCCTTGTCTGCTGCCTGTCTGCTGCCTGTCTGCCCCAGACCACAGAGCCCTCCTCCTAAATGCACATCCTTTTGAGACACTCAAGGAGATACAACAAAATGGACCGAAGTGGATATGGCCCCCTCCAGGCTCCAGAGGAGGGGGGGGCTGTGAACTCACTGCCTATCTTCTCAGTGTTGCAAATACTAAAAGCTTTGTCTGTGCCTTGCCCCTCTTCCTCCTCTGCAGAGAGAGACACCAAAGGAAAAATTCTTTGCGTCTTCCAAGGAATTGGGAAGTTTATTCTGCTCCTGGGCTTCCTCTACTTGTTCGTGTGCTCCTTGGACGTCCTCAGCAGTGCCTTCCAGCTGGTTGGGGGTATGTACCCAAGGCGCCAGGGGTGGGAACAGATGTTGTAACTGAATTTGGTTCAGGCGGTCACAAATCCAAATCCCAAGTCCTCTTAAACTGCAGCTTTGTAGAGTGTTTTAAAGACTGAAACCCATCTCAGATCATCTTGCAAAGTCTACGCCCCCAATTGTGTGGAAGAAAACACTTGGGGCAGGTGGCTTAGGCCAGGAGCCAAGGCTGGAGCCAATTGCAAGCTATCAGTCCCTTGCCTTTGTTCAGGGGCCCCAGGCAGGAAACTGTTTGACCTGGCCTTATCTGAGGGATCCCTGCTGTCTCTTAAGAATGGTCTCTTAGGCCAAAGCAAGTAGGAAAGATCAAAGACAGTCCTTGCCAGGGAAGGACAAGGGGCCTCTGGGTCAGGATTCTGCATCCACAATAGAGACCACACTTCTCCCAGGACACAGTGACCACTCAGTGTGGGAGGAGTCCAGAAGTGAGATTACCACATGCCCAGTTACCTTTGTACCCTCCCTAGGCAACAAGAATAATAGTACTCTGAACACCTTCAGTGGCTCTATGTGGATCCTTGCTCCCCCAAGACCTTATCATTTATGGGGACCAAGGCTCAGAGAGGTCACTAACTGGCCCTGAGATTCAGCTTTAAGTCAAGGTGACATAAAAGACTATAGGCTAGTGCATCCCATGGTGCCTCTCTTGAGGGATGACCATTGAGCTGGGAGACTTGAGGCAGGGGTCACCATGGGGGCGCAGTTCTAGTCTGATCCAGGGAGCACCAGTGAGAGGCTGTGCTTGTGATTATCACAGACAAGACACAGCCACTCTCTGGCCTTCCTTATCACATGGATTGGGGGAGTAGATGGAAGCTCTGCCAGCATTCAGTTCCAGGCTGGAGCTGGGGAGGACAGAGAGTCACGTGGATCTTCTGCATTGGGGTATATCCCAGAGGAGTTAGGCTACTGGGAGGTGTGTTAGGTCTAACATAGCTGAGGGCCAGTTTGCCATCAGAGAAGGTTCGGAAGGGCTTGCCGATGGGACAAGAGGAACCAGAGGCTATCAGTGTGAGGGGAATGAGGTGGAGCCTGTGTAGGGTCCCCCACCTATTAGAGATATAGGGCAGTGAAGGGAAAGAGCACAGGGAAGCAGGATCCCATAGGTCCAGCAGGGCTGGAGGGCTCTACCCCCCAGCCAGCTGGCCCTGGATGGAGAGCAATCAGTGCCCCCACCGCTACCCCTTATCACATGGCTATTGGTTTGTCTTTCAGGAAAGGTGGCAGGACAATTCTTTAACAACAACTCCATCATGTCCAACCCTGTGGCGGGTCTGGTGATCGGGGTGCTGGTGACCGTCATGGTGCAGAGTTCCAGTACTTCCTCGTCCATCATCGTCAGCATGGTGTCCTCCTCATGTGAGTCAGGGTACCCAAGACCCTGCATGCACTCCGGCACCCCTGTCCATCCAGGGAGCCTGGAGCTTACTCTGAATCTACACAGGCCACGTCGCTATTTCCAAAAGTGACATGTTCACTTTCGAAACAGGCAGCCTCCTATTTCCATCTGGATGGCTGTGTCTGAAAATAACCCTGATGCTTGATGGCTCTGAATTCTTTAAATCTATGGTGTCCAACCCAACAGCCACTAACCACATGAGGTTATTTCATTTCAACCTTAATTGATTTAAGTTTAGTATAAAATTCAGTTTCTGTCACGCTAGCTGTATCTGTCTCAAGCGTTCTGCAGCTATGCGTGGCTGGCCCCGTCATGTTGAATGTATCGATACAGAACACTTCCATCAGATTAGAAAGCTCCCGTGGACAGGGCCACTCTTAGTGTGAACAATGACAACATCTATTCACATTACATATTTGCGTTGGGATAAGTGGTTTTGGGGGGATGTCATTCCAGACCTGTAGCTGCCTAACACCTGCTCTGATGAGACTGAAATAGCACTGGAGGGAGAGGGAACACAAGTTTAAAAGATCAATTTTTAGCTTTTTAGCTAAAACTAGAGTTTCTGAGACAAGTTAGAAAAAGGTATTCTTGGAAAATATCACTAGATGTCAGAAAACTGTGGCAATATATTTTGTGAGCATTTCTAACCAGGAATTTGTCTAATAAACACAGACAAGTGTTTGATGTCTAGCATGTGGGTGACACCCCTTTATATGAGTCTTGATGCCACGAAGAGCTGACTCCGCTGTTCTTGTCATCACTGGGAGTCCCTCACCTGCGACCTCAAACACGGACTGGTTCTGGTCTCATAGACAGGAGGGAGAAACTTGGAAAGGCACTTAAGCTGGAGTCCCTAGAGGGCTTCGGGGGGCCTTTGGATGCCACAAAAGTATGTGAAGGAATATGGGAAGGGGGACACATACAGATTTCTATGTTGGCCTACTTTTCATAAAATGTGCTGTGACATAGCCCCAAAAGAAATTAAGAACTACTCCAGGGAATTACCAGTGTCAGTTCAGCCTTCCTCAGGCCATTTGGAATGGCCAGGCTGCCTTCCTACACTTGCTAACGGGTCCTCTCCACCCTCCAGTGTTGACCGTGCGGGCTGCTATCCCCATCATCATGGGGGCCAACATCGGGACATCCATCACCAACACCATCGTGGCGCTCATGCAAGCAGGAGACCGGAATGAGTTCAGAAGGTAAGAGGCTCAGGAAAGACCAGTCTTTGCAACCCACTAGGCCTGTTTGGAACCATACTTCAGTGACTACCTCTACCTGACCACATGAGTCTACTTGCCAGTTCATGGCTGGAGCTCCTGGAAGGAGCAGGGGATAGGATCGCATACTTCCCAGTCAAATTCCACACCTTGGTCTTCAGAGCCAGGATAATATTATCTGTCACCACTGTGTTATCTTGAGGATTAAACAGAATCATGTAGGTAAGTGTTTAGCAAGGTGCCTAGCTCTTTGTCAGGGTTCACTAAGGCAAGCTCTAGCCAGACTCTACCTGCTGGGTGGTGTCGCTGAAACAGGGCCAGATAGGGTAGGATTTACTGTCTCAGTTACTCATAAATAATTATAACTTCCTAAAATGTCTATTTTTTGGCTAGCTTGACCAGTGCCACTTTCTAGTTTTCACTTGCATGTCCCCAAAAAGCAAAATGCAGTTTTCATGGGTATGACCTGAAAACAGAATAGGTTGAATATAAGCAAAGGGAACACTTTTCTGCCAAAAAAAACAAACAAACAAACAAAAAAAAAACGGTTCATGTAGAATTAAATACATTGTCTGGCTTCTGTTCTAACTTTCCCCAGAGCTTATTAAAATACAGAGACAACCTCCAGCTTGTCTATGTGACGCTTTCGTGGTGTGGTCAGGCAGCTGACATTACGACAGGCTGTTTGGGGAGACAGAGACGTCATCTCTGTCTGCTGGTGAATTGGCAGCTAGTGGATGCCACTGGAGGCATCCATTTGCTCTGAGCCCATCTCATTGGGTCCCTGGTAAAATATCCCGATGGCCACAATAACAATGCACATTAAGTAGTGTATTCTAATATGACTTCGTACTAAAGCCAAGTAAGTAGGCTTGTCTTACCCTGTTGGCAAAGTGAGGAGGTCATTGAGGGGCGCAGCCGGGATTCCAGCTTTGTTTCTGTACTTGAGATTTTGGGTGCTTTCACTGTTGATTGATTATTGTCCCCAGGTAGCCTGTGACATGTCAGTGTAAGACCCATGAAGATACCTGTGTGTAGGAATATTACTAACATGCTTTCCATAGCATCTTTCAATGTCTTTGGGGTATGTATCTTTCTCTTAGTGGTTTAGGTTATTTCCTTGGATTTCTAGAATAATTACCGTATCAAACATTTATCAGGCTTTTAACAATTTGCCAGCTTCCAGGAAATACTTGAACCACTTCGTACTACATTAGCAGTATGGGACAGTGTCTTAAATCACCCTCTCTAGGAAAAATAAGAATATTTTAGGAAGTCAATTTCTTTTTCAAGTGAAGTGAAGTATTTTTTGGCTGCTTCTATCTGTTCACGTCCTGTGTACCATCTGATTTTAGGTGTTTGCTAACACGTAGATATTTTTAAAGGTTTTTTTGTTGAGGAAAAAGGCCTAGGGTAGTTTCTTAACCTGGAGATGGGATGGGATGTGGGTTGGAGGGGAGGAGACAGTACTGGGGCTTAGAGCCTCACACTTACTGGACAGACACTCTACCACTTGAGCCATGCCTCAGCCCTCAGGGGACCTTTGAGCCTCTTGACCGATATAAAGGGGTGGTATATCAGTCTTGCTTTCTGGAGATGGTCACAAGTTTTGTTTTTTTTTTTTTGTCTCGCTGAAAACCTGCAGCTTCATGTATGCTAGGCAAGCAACTCTACCACAGACCTACATCTGTAGCTCAAGGTTTTTTAAAGGTTAAGAACTCACTTGGGTAGAGGGCTTCGACTGTTACCTGTCTACTGGTCTCTACCTTTTCAAGAGCAAATTGCCTTCAGAGTACAGTGATTCAAAGTGACTGACAGTTCCACGCAGTGGTTTCTGGGAGAATCATTGCAGCCAGATGCTGGTTGACCCTGAGTTTCTGCCCAGGTCCCAAGATAATTTTAACAGCATCCAGTTTGGGGAATGCAGTGAACAAAAATGAGACTGCACATTTATGTATGCCCGGCAGGGTGACAGCTAGCAGGTGCAATGACCTGACTGGTGCCACTCACATGCTGACTGTTGGGGTTTCCTTCCCATAGGGCTTTTGCAGGGGCCACAGTCCATGACTTCTTCAACTGGCTGTCTGTGTTGGTGCTATTGCCTCTGGAGGCCATCACCCACTACTTGGAGATTCTGACTAACCTTGTGGTGGAGACTTTTAACTTCAAGAATGGAGAAGATGCCCCAGCCCTTCTGAAAGTCATCACAGATCCCTTCACCAAGCTCATAATCCAGGTAGCCATTAGCCAGGATAGCTGTCCTCCTCCCCCTCCCCCTTCACCCCACTGAGCCTATGGAGTGAAGGCTCTAAAAACACTGCTTGGTGGCAGCCTCTGAAGGAACCAGGGTGACAGAACTTGGGGCACTTAGATGTGTGTCATCTGTTATGGGTATGTGGCCTGGTGATACTATTCTTAAGTATTCTCCCTGGATACTTAGGACCATTTTGCTCCTACTACTGCCATCTCACTGAAAGTCAAACGTGACTCAGCAAAAGAGAAGGATCACCACCCTTGGAGTCAGGGGTCTTCTCAATCCCAAGGTCCCCTGTGCCTCTCCATATTATTAAAATGAAGAAGGCTTTGGGGATGTTGCTTTTTGGGGAAAGGGACAGCTGTGACCTTGCTTTCACTGGGACTTTCTAGTTTTCTTTGTCATCCAGTCAGCCAGTGAGTTAGACACCAGTGCCCTGTCTGACAGTCATTCATCTCTTGAGCACCTGCTAATGTCTGGTGACTGCTGACCCCTGAGGGGTGCACACAGTATGAATCCCAAAATATACCTGCAGAGCTCAGTCAAGTTTGTCTCTTCAGAGGCCTTTTAACAGCACAGCCTTCCAAACCAGCTCTGGGGACGTTGCTGACTTCTCTTTTCTATTGCCTTCCTCAGCTGGATAAAAATGTTATCCAACAAATTGCCATGAATGATGCCGCAGCTCAAAACAAGAGTCTGGTCAAGATTTGGTGCAAAACTTTGACCAACGTGGTAAGTGTCAGGAATATTGCAGATGGGTTAATCTTAGTGTCTGAAAAGTGTTTTCAAGGTGGCAAAGCAAACGTTGGGGGGAGAAACATTGGAGGGTCAGGGACAATTAAACCTGGTCCGTGAGATTCCTTTCATAAACATCTCCTTACATGAGGGAGGGGCTTCATCAGTAGGACAGACAGCCACCTTCCCCACCCCACCCCCACCACAGAAGCATTATACCTGACTTATCATTGTGTTCTGTTGCTTGAAGAAGGGTTGTCTGTCTCTGGCTGCCTCTGCTCCCATTTTTGGAGGAGCCTGCGGAATTCAGTGTGTCACACTGTACCAGTGATGGCAGCTCTCTCTTTCCAGATTCTTCTAGAGTATTTCTTGCCCTCCTGCATCAGCCTGTTGTGCATTCAGCTGGTGGCCCACCCTTGATTCCAGAGTGAATATGTGTTTGTTTTTGTGGGGTACCAAAAGCTAGAGACTACAATACTAAAACTCACCATTTTTAGATGGTGAAGGCTTTTTTTTTTATTGGTCCCAGTTGTTCCAAGAGATGAATAGCCAGTCAGAGTGAAAGGAACATTAGGATGAATGCACTGCATATGACCCTCTGTATGGTGTCACCCCTGTCCCCTCATTGCCCTCTGCTCCCTACCAAAAGTTATGTGGACATTTCCTATACTTGTCTTTTAGACTCAGATGAATGTCACTGTCTCCTCACCTGAGAACTGCACCTCCCCTTCCCTCTGTTGGACAGATGGCATCCAAACCTGGACCATCAAGAATGTGACCCACAAGGAGAATATTGCTAAATGTGAGTGGGACTCAGAAAAATGACCCCAATAGGATGGGCGGTCAGGGCACTGATGGCATTGCTTACCTGTGTGGAGCCCATGAAAGCAGGAAAGGAGGCCCGCCCAGGCACAGAGCAGTCTCTTTCCATAGCAAAAGATTCTAAGGTGACAGGCTCAAGGTCCCATGGGGAAGGAAAGAACTGGGATATGAAGCTTCACTCCCCTGGCACTGTGTACCATGTCAAAAGAACTCCATCAGGTTTCAGAATGCACTCCTGTGTGCTTCTACCCCTTATTGATAACTCTGGGGTAATGACAGCTAGATTTGAAGGATAAGATTGGGCCCACAAGGGACAGGCATATTTACTCAGTGAGTCCCATCTGCAAGGCAGAACCCACTCAAGTCACTGAGCGAGGTCATGAGCCTAAGTGATGCTCTGGGTCAGTGTTGTCCCTGGAACCTTCCAACTCAGATATCCATAGTCCTGTAATTACTCTGTATATCTCCACTTCTCCCCTTACCCCACCGACATTAATTCTGAGTAGTATACCTTGATACTCCAGACGTGATTGCCCCACAGAATCAGGTGAACTTGGCACCTCTATACATTCATAGGTAGAACCATGGTTTGCTGGATTTAACACGGGAACACATTGGGACTTTGAAATACAGAGGTTTTACGATGTAACCATCACAAGTAAATAGCATAGGCTGGACACCGGTGGCTCATGCCTGTAATCCTACTCAGGAGGCAGCGATCAGGAGGATCAAAGTTTGAAGCTAGCCTGGGCAAATAGTTTAAAAGACCCTATCTTGAAAAAACCCTTCACAAAAAAGGGCTGGTGAAGTGGCTCAAGGTGTAGGTCCTGTGTTCAAGCCCCAGTACTGCAAATAAGCAAAGAAAACAAACAAACAAATAATAATAATTAAAAAAAAACCAAGTAAACAGCAGGGAACTGAGAGGCGGAACTGGGCTGGATGCCTGGGTCTGCCCTGACCAGTTGTGATTTTAACATCTTCACTTCAGCTTGCAGCCTCAGGAGGTCCAACCCGGCAAAACATCACTTTGAACCATCCTTAGCTGCAAAGGATGCTGGGAAGGAACATTTGTTCTGAGCAGTCATGTGTATAGAAGGAGGATGTGGTAGTGGATAACAGTCTCTGACGGGGTGGCCCCTGCCTCTTTGACAGGCTTTCTGTGTCTCTTCAGGCCAGCACATCTTCGTGAATTTCAACCTTCCAGATCTTGCTGTGGGCATCATTTTGCTTGTTGTCTCCCTGCTGTTCCTCTGTGGCTGCCTGATCATGATTGTCAAACTCCTGGGCTCCGTGCTCAAGGGGCAGGTGGCAAGTGTCATCAAGAAGACCCTTAACACCGGTAGGTGCTCTTCCCCGATTCTGGCCATTTTTGGGTCTGGGACCACATGATCACTCCCAAGATGTTCCCGTCTTGAATGTCTTCTGCATGGAGTCGCTTATCTTGGATTTGATAAGCTGCAGAAGTTAGATGTCATTTGCCCTGGAAATATCCCAGGGTATTCTGATGGGTCAGGGGAGCAGGTGGCCAAGGTCTGGATGGAGAAAGGGCCTGCTCAACTCAAGAGCCATGAGTTAGGCATCTCGCTGGCAGGTTTTCTATGCCTAGGACTTCCTGGGTGCTCAGGAGCTCTTAGAAGAGCTCACTTCCCTTCACTCTTGGGAAATAAACAAGTTCAAGATAAAATACACCACCCTCATGAGGTGGCCAATGAGACTCCATTGGCCAAGAGGAGCTCTGGCCCAGTAAAGTATCCTGACCAATGAGAACATACCAAGCAGTGACATCACTTCTTGCTAAGATCTTGATGAAACCTGGCCAAGAACATCTGCCTCCCCCAGGTTGTCATGAGTGAACTAGTACTTTGGGTGGGTGTGGGCTGGTCCTGGGCAGGTGCTGGGTTCCTCGGGTTCCAGGCTGCTGCACTTTCATCCATTCCATTATGTAGAGACAAAGGTGGAAGATGTGCAATGATGGAGGACCAGGATGGTGAGGAAATATTTAGGAGGAGGATGTTTTTCGAGTGAGTTCAAGTATTTCTAACCCCATCTCCATTGCATCTGCTTTTGTCTTAACTTCCATCTGCCCATGTCTTCAGATTCAACATCTGAATATGCAGGTGTCAGACAGTGGGGAATGGATTCCAAACATCAACTTGGCAGTCTAGGACCACATATGCATGGAGCACGTCACTCTGTAGCTCATCTCCTGCGCTTGAGTCCCAGGAGGCACCAGCTAGGCCTCAATCCATGCCTTCCCCAGAGGGCTTGTGAAACACCCCTTTTCCCTGTCTTCCAGATTTCCCCTTTCCCTTTGGATGGGTGACTGGCTACCTGGCCATCCTTGTGGGGGCAGGCATGACCTTCATTGTGCAAAGCAGCTCCGTGTTCACATCGGCCCTGACCCCACTGATTGGTGAGTTTCTCTCTAGCTTCTCCCTTGTGCCATTTCCTGTCATGCCACAGGACGATGCCATGTGCTCTGTGTTTTTCCTAAGGTATTGGTGTGATAAGCATTGAGAGGGCGTATCCACTTACACTGGGCTCCAACATCGGTACCACCACCACCGCCATCCTGGCCGCCTTAGCCAGCCCAGGCAGCACACTGAAGAGTTCGCTCCAGGTCAGGACCTGCTGCTAGGGACCCGGGCCCTATGGGAAGGATACATCCCCATCCATGGCCTTGCAAAACTGGTCTCTAACAAGAGTTATATCCAAAAGATGGAATTAAGATGTCTAGAAGCCACAGGAAGATAGTCAAAGCTACCCAGTCCTTAGAGCGAGCAAGACTCTTATCTTAAAAGACAGGATTTTAAGAAAGGTAGGGCAGCTCCTGGACAGAAAAGTGTAGAACGACTGGGTACCACTTCCCAACTTCTCACCCACCTTGTGAGGAACTGTGCCTGGGCAACGGTCAAAGATCTGTAGCAAGGGCTGTTTCCTGAGAATCAGGGAGGCCGGTCTGGCCTAGATCAACTGAGGTACCTTGCACAAGACCTTTGGAATTGGAATCTTTGTCCCACCATTTGCACACGGAATGACTTTCAAGTGACCTAACCTGAGCACCACTTTCTTCATGTGTAAAAGAGACCACAGCCCTTATTTCATTAGGATTATATGAACATCCGATGAGGCAGGTGTGAGCCATTCTACCCACAGAAATATAAAATGTCACCATACAGTACAGTGTACAGTCACATACAGTTGTGCAGCCACATTTTTAAAAAGTAGGAGACAGGGACCTTTACTTAAATAACGCAGTTGATTTAAACCATTATCATTTCAACATGTAACATAAATTGAGATTTTGCCTTCTTTTGGACTAAGTCCTTCACCCAGTGTGTACTTCATACTTTAGAGCATCTGGGCATGGCTAGCCCACTGCAGTCACCTGTGGCTAGACTTCATGTATTTGACAGGGCTGGTTACTAGCATGGTACTTGGTGACATTCATAGGAAAGTAGACAAGTGCCTGTCCTCTGCAGCCAGACTACCTGGACTTGACTTCCACCTCTACCCCTCCCACTTGTGTGACTTCGGGGAAATCCTTGTCTACCTCCAGGGAGGCTTACTTTGTCATACATCCAGTCACAATGGCGGTCACCACATAGAGTGTTACGAGGGTTGAGATGACGACTGTAACACGCTTGGAACAGTAGCCTTGCACATAGCAAATGCAGAACAATGGCAGCCGCTATGATTTTTAGGGAATGGTAATCAGCCTTCACTTTCATTCCTTTCCTTAGAAGAGTCGCTAGGCCAAGAAAGCCAGTGACTCTACAAGCCTTTATTTTATGGGACCACAGTGTGGGGAGGAAGTGCGCAAACTCCCTGTCAAGAAGTGATCTAAAAGCCCGACTTGTGTTTTTCAGATCGCCCTGTGCCACTTTTTCTTCAACATCTCTGGCATCTTGCTGTGGTACCCGATTCCCTTCACCCGCCTGCCCATCGGCCTGGCCAAAGGCCTGGGCAACATCTCCTCCAAGTACCGCTGGTTCGCCGTCTTCTACCTGATCTTCTTCTTCTTCCTGACCCCGCTGGCCGTGTTCGGCCTGTCACTGGCCGGCTGGCCGGTGCTGGTAGGCGTGGGGGTGCCCATCATCCTCCTGGTGCTGCTGGTGGTGTGCCTCCGGCTGCTGCAGTCCCGCTGCCCACGCATCCTGCCCCAGAAGCTGCGGGACTGGAATTTCCTGCCCACGTGGATGCACTCACTGAAGCCCTGGGACCACCTCATCTCGCTGGGCACCACGTGCTGCCAGAGGCGCTGCTGCTGCTGCTGCCGCGTGTGCTGCCGTGTGTGCTGCATGGTGTGTGGCTGTGCTAACTGCTGCCGCTGCAGCAAATGCTGTGAGGACCTGGAGGAGGGGCAGGAGGACCAGGGGGTCCCGGTCAAGGCCCCTGAGGCCTTCGACAACATAGCTATGAGCAGAGAGGTCCTAGAGGAGGGCAAGGGTCCTGTGGAGTCCCTGGACATGAAGACCTTGTCCAGCAGCACAGCCTTCTAGGGGATCAGTGGTGGGGGAGGAAAGAGTCCCTTGTGTCCTGTCCCTCTGGTTCCTGCACACTCCCATGGCCACTTCACAGAGCTTTGCTCCCCATTAGGAAAGCAGAGGTGTCATTCGCCCTAGCTCTCCTTCCTCTGGCTCAGGACCCCAGCCTCCAGGGCAGTCTCATCTCAGTCTCTGCTCACTTGTCCTGTCTCTCCTGGACATTGCAGTATAACACTGAATGAGAATTAAGCCACAACCCAGGCTAGACCACGTCCACTCCCTACACCGCTGAACTTGGATCTGTCTTCAGACTCAGAGCATCCTATTCAGAAGGGAAAGACCCAACCAAGGGAGAGATTTTATGGAAGGTTGTCAAGGCCCATGTAAAGGGTGTGTGTATATATGTGTACAAAGCTCTCCTTCATTGTAATAAAGCCCAAGCATCTTTTTTAAATCAAAGGCTGCCTTTCCCCAAGTGCAGCTTCTCCCAGGCCCCCCACCCCTACCCCAGAGCAGCCTGCTTCTGGGGAAATTATGACTGGAGATGCCCCCCTCCCAGTCCTCAGTGCCCCCCCTCTCCAACCCTGGGCAAGCTCTCAACCTGAGCAGGAATGGCTGGCCCAAGCAGCTGACTGGGTCCTCAGGGACTCACATCCTTGTGTTTCTAAGATGGAAGCCATCCTAGCCTACAGAGAGGCTTACCTGTCTCATCTGAAGGAGGGAGTGCTGTCCTGAGCTGGGTAGATGAAGGACAAAAACAGAGAATAGCATTTGGAGAGATAGTTTACCTGCCAGGGTGCCTCAGGTTCTTTCCTGGACCAATCTAGAAGCCATGTTGACAGGCATTGTGACTGCAGTCTACAGGCAATCTCTTGGAACTTTTGAGTAAGGCATGCAAGCCCTCCAAGCCCACTCCCTCCACACCTGGAATCTCAGGAGTCATGCTTGCCCTGCTCTCTGTGCCACAAAACTCCATAGTCCTCAGGGAGGAGGCCAGGGCGATGCTGGGTACCCAGTGAGCCATGGTGAGGTTCATGTGTGGCTGTAGGTGAGCGATCCTCTGCCTGCCAGAGCCCCTGTTTTGTTCACACCACTTCTACCCAAGGTCAGCCATCTCAATCTTCCCCAAGTGGGTGAGCCTCAGTCCCATCCAGGGAAAGGGCAGCAGCACAGTTGTAGCCCCAAGACCCTGTCCTCTCCCATTCCAGTGTCTCCATCATCAAACAGTTGGGATGTCCACCTGAGCCCTTTCTGAATCCCTCTCCCTCCTCCCCCTATGTATATACTTGCTTTCCCAAACAGCCAGTTATACTCCATATTTATAGCCATGGATCTGTACAGTTTTCATAAGCTATGTAGTAAATAGTCTGTGATTTGTTTTATAGTGTCTCGTTTGGAAATGAGGCAGGGTTTCTTTGTAAAAATGTAAACGACAGACGAGCACCTTTGTATATATTGTAATACCACCTGTTAACCATGCCTCTTGTGTCACCCCGCACACTTTGTAAATATGTAAGTTAAACCCGGGCAGTGGCTGTGACTTTCTTTGCACTCTGATTTTTAGAAATGGGATCCTTGTACCTGCATTAATTGTATTTTTTTTTTTTACTGGTTAAGGAAAGGGAGAAATAAAAAATAATCAAACCCAGAAGGAGTGTGTTGCTTTCAATCAGAAGGAATCAGGAGCCTTCTTGGATCCATTTCCTGAATAGGTCAGGGCTTGCTCTTCACTCACCCTCAAGACCCTTCAAAAATTCAGGGGAATAGTGTCATTGTGGTTTTTAGTTCCTTGTCCTTTAATATTCTCATTTCCTGGTGTCCCTTGATTTGTCACAGGAATTTGCTGTTGAGTGCTGTGCTAAGTAAAGCATTAAATTTAGGATATTATTACAAATGGTAAGCTTCACCTTTACGTATTGTGCAGTGCCAGTTTTGAATGCAAACATCAGAGCTTTTAACTCATGTGGAATCACTGAAATTCTGTGAGGCATTTTGTCGCTTGTGTATCAAGTTTGTTCCACTCCTGGCTCTGTTTGTTTTCTTATCCTCATCTGGAATATGGGGCAGTAACACTTGACTTGCTATGATTATTAAAATGAAGTAAATCAGCCCTCAGTATCCTCAAGGGGGGGGAGGAAGATCAGTTCCAAACCCCCCCCACCTCCACATACCAAAATTTAAGTTGCTCAAGTTTCATATAAAATGACACTATTTGCATGTAGCCTGTGTGTATCCTCTAGTGTACTTTCATTGTCTCCACATCCCTTACAGTACTTAATAAAACGTACGCACTCTGCAAAGTTATTACACTGGATTGCTTGGGGAATGATAAGAAAAATGTGTACATGTTAATACAGATGCAGTTTTTAAAATATTTTTATCTATAGTTGGTTGAATTTGTAGATACAGAAAGTATCAGTATGAACATTAGCCCATAAACATAGAGGACACCTATAACGTTTATGAATATTTAACTCAGGACTGGTTTACTGTAAGTGTTAGGCATATTGTTTGGCTGAAAACTGTAGACAACTGCCATACGCTTCCCCAACTCATTTGTTTTTCTCGATCTGTTCGTAAAGTGAGATGCTAAGTTAGTAAAGCTGCTACCAGCCCTCGAAGCAGAGACCACAACTGGCTTTAGGTTTAGGGTTGGGATGGGCTGGACAAGTGTCACGTGACCTGGGGTCAGTCTGCAAAGACCATTCAGCATTTCGGAAAGTGTGGGGCTGGCCCATGAGGAGGGGCAGGAGGCTAGTCTTAGCCATGTCGACGTGGATTCTGTTTTACAGCATCTTACATGAATTTTGTCAAGGTTGAAGACCAAATAATGCTAGAGAGTTTACAGCAAATAATGTCTTAAACTTGCCTCTCCTGGTCCTCTAGTCCAGCTTTCCAGAGGCAGTCTTTTCTACTTCTCTTAGTGGTTTCTTCTTGCGTCTTGTTCCAAGTGAATATAATGGCATTTACTCCAGGCACTGATTGCCCTGGTTTCTGACGGGTAATCAATGGTTGCATTTTTATTTTGTAAATGTGACAAGCTATAGAAATATTGCACCAACATTATTTTCTTTCTTCATATGTTATTATGAGGGCTGTCATAAGACTATGTTTTTCCCCATAAATGCTCAGAAATGTCTGATAATCTTTTTCTTTTTCTTCTCTACTCTCCTTCCTCTCCCTCCCTTCTTTCTCCCTCATCCTCTTATCCCAGGATGGACTGGTGGTTTCATCAGCCCTTTGAGCAACTGTCACTCTGAGCTGCCTCTCTTTTTGGCTGGATCCTTTGTTTTCTTGATTTCATTATTTCCTTTTGCCTTTTAATTCTCTAGGTTTGTTTTTTTTTTTTTTTTTTTGAGTGCCCAAGAAAGGGTACACAGGAAGTGAATTTTAGTTCATTTTGATGGTAATTTGAAAAACACTACCTTGTCCTATGGAAGGCATTGCTCTCCAAACTTCTAGGGTCTTGGAGCTAAGACAGCATGAAAGCCTATCAGCCAGCACCATCATCAGACTTGTGGTGGAGGCCATGGTAACGCCCAGCCCTTTCCTGCCAGGTAAGACCCACAGAGCAGTCCAACAAAGTCCATCCCAAATTGCTGCCCAGAGGAAATGAGTAAAAAGGGTGATTATTTTTGTGACACTAAGTCTTGGGGGTTGTTACTTACACAGTCAAGATAACTGATGCAGAATTCAACTCTTCAAACTATAGCGTTTGGCTTACATCTGATGCACTTCCTGTATTGCGTTGCCCACCTCTGTCCTCACCCTGGCTCCTTTGGCTTAATTCCCTCAGAGAATAAGTTTCCCATATCCTGCTATGGTTGGGGGAGGGCAGACCTACAGGTCCTCTAGGTTAAGGTATGGCTGTGAGAGGTCAAAACATGAAACAACTTAAAAGGAATCCTGAAAAGGAAAGTAATACAACTATAGAAAAGTTGAATTGAATTAGAAAATAGAAGAGACTTACCTTAAAAACAAAAACAAGCCAGGCTTGGTGGTACACACGTGTAATCCCAGCACTGGAGAGGCTGAAGCAGGAGAATTTCAAGTTCTAGGCCAGCCTGGGCTACATGGTGAGAACTTGTTTAAAAAACAAACAAACAAAACAAAGCAAAGCAAAAACAATAAAATATGTAACATTTCGCTTGTATAATAGAAAATGTTGCTAGTCCACATTTTCTGAATATTTCTTGTGCATAAGTGCTGTGCTAAGCACCTGACCTGCTGTCATTCACCTCCCAGCATCCCCACGAGGCACAAAACATTATTCCATGTATTCTAAATTTTCTACATTTCACGAAGCCTGACACTGAGAGGTTGAGATAACTTATTGAACTAACCCTGCCATAGAAGTAGGTATAAAGTGAGAATTTGAACCCAGATCCTCTGAACTTTAGATCTTGCCGTTTTAAATGTCTACACTGTATGGAGAAGCAGTTGAAGTTACAGACAAATTGAATAATTCCTTGTGCAACCTGTGCTAATCCATGCAGAGCTCTTTATGAAGGGAACGATTAGTAAAATATAAATGATCAAACTTGAACCAAGAAATAGCCTGAACAAAGCAGTAACTATGAAAAGAAAGTTGATTGCTCCATCTTCGAAAGAAATGCTAGGTTTAAGTGACTACAGTAGAAAATTCTTTTAAAAAGGACCTTCATGGAACAGAAAATTCCCATGATAAAAGAGCTGTTTTAGAACAGGCAGATGAAAAACTATGATTGGGTCACAATTTGGTTCATAAAGGGAACTCGAGCACAGCGCTTTAAAAGGGGTAGAAGGTGCTCACTTTGCAGACAGAAACAAAACCTTAACAGAACTCCAGTGATTAGCCCGACTGAACAACGCTGCGTCAAAAGTGAAGAGCACAATCCACAACAGCAACGCCCGCTCTTGATAGACTTCAATTTTATGGGTGAATTTCAGTGTCCATTTCTAGGTGATGCCTTAATTTTTTTTTAACAGCAGTTTTATAGGTGCACAGCAAAATTGCATGGAGGGTACAGGTTTCT